TGCTGATGGTCCATATGCTGGTGCTCTTGCCAACAATTGCCCAGTGAGAGCAGCATGTATGTGAAGTCCAATCACTGAGGAAAAAAAAAACCCACATCTGACAGTAAATATAACCTGTGCAGGCAATTGGTGGTGTCATGGCTGCAAATTTATGAGCCCTTTGGAGGAGATACCAGTATTTCCTTCTATTAGTTTTCTAGGGTCATCATTGCTTCTCACTATTATTTATGGAGGAACGTCACCAGTGCTCTCCATCCAGCCCGGAGCCAGCGCCGAGCGCTTCCCGCAGAGTTGGCTTCCCAGCAGAATTCCTCTGTGGTCAGGCTGAGCAGTTGTAAGGTTTGTGGGTTTGAAGGGTGGCAAGTTCTGCAGTCACCCCTCAGGGTCACCCTTAATGGGGTGCAGAGCTGGCCGTGGCCCCACCTCCAGGCAGGGCTCTGGTGGGTGCAGGTGCAGCTCAGTTGGGGAAGGAATTCCCTAACAGGGCTCCAGCCCAGCTCCTCTATTGTCTTGCATTCCCATGGCAACCAGCTCCACCAACAAATTAATGTTCTTTTATTGAAAAAAAGGTAACAACTATCCAAAATCCTTATTATTTTCAGGGAAGAAACCTATCACCCTCCCCTCTGTGTTTGAAATCTGCTAGTAAATTCAGTCCAGGAAGTGGCATCCCCCCTGTACCTAATCCCCTCTGCTCCCTTCCCCTAAGAACTGGCCAAGAGAGCTTTACCCACCCCGTGGCAGCAGGAACACTTCCAGGAATCACTGTGACTCACCCACCCCAAAAGCAGTTCTGTTCAGAACTAATAAAAAGCACAAGTGTTTTCAGACACGTGCTTATGGTTTACAAGCAAAGCAGGAGAAAAATGACTGAAGGCAAAGCTATGATACACTCCTGCCTTCTCCAGATACCCACATCAGCTTGAAAAAAGAGGAAAAGCCAGAAAATTGAGACTGACAATCTGACCTTACAAGATGCTGCTGCTCCAGCAGCATCAGGAAGTTTGTGGTACAGGGAGAGGTGAGCAGTGAGACTTTGGCCTTTCGTGGTTACAGGTAAAAAACCATCCCAGTTCTTATATCCACAAGTCTTAAATCCTAGAATGGTTAGAAATATGACTTGGGGGACTAGAAATAAGAACAATCTTTTCAGATTTATTGCAAGCATGGATTCAAACACCAGTGCTTTAGAATCTGGCTGGGAGAATAGTGTTTGAGCTGAGCTGCCTGGGAGAAGGAAGGTCACAACTCTCAGGGCTTCAACAGGAGCACAACAAAAGCAGGAAGGACACTTTGGGGCAGAAGTACAATTTTTTTAATAAACTTGACAACTGAGTACACAGGTTGCAGCAGATGTTCAGAACCACAAGCAGCACTGCCTGCACTTGGCTGTAGCTTTCTTGAACTCACAGATAACAAAAGATGAAACTTCAGGAATCTTCTAAGTGCAGACACTGCCAACTGTTTCTTCTCCTGTAGCCAGGTTTGCTTAAAGTTCTAACATTTCAGGCACAATCTGCAAATAAGAAATGGCCCAGGATGTTAAGACAACTTGAAATACAGCCAGCACAAGTTAGCAATCAATGTCAGTACTAAGGAGTTAATTAATCCACACCATCCAGACTCCTGCTGTTCACTGTGGTTCAGTAGCTGAGCCAAGGACAGAGAGTTGCTTTTAATTTCTGAGGCAACATTTTCAGCTAATTGAAGAACTACATCAGGTCTTGGATTTTTCACATGCCAGAGGAAATTAAAAAGCTTCATAAAGTGCAACAAAATTTTAGGGAAGCCATGAGCTGGGCTCAGTTATCCTGATTCACAGGGAAACTTCAGGAAACAATTTACTTCAGAACCACAGGAACACCTTACCTGGCACAGGCTGTACTCCCTGCAGGCAGTGGAAGCTGAGTGCCTGCAAACTTGTGTGGATCAGGACCTAAAGCAGTGACAGAAGGCAGATGGTACTAAGAAATTAGGCTTATTTAGGAGAGTTTTACCAATAGATCAGAAATGCTTTGAAAAAAATAATCTTTCTGGGAAGAGGATAATTGAGCAGCTCAACAGCTGGAGCCTGCTCTTGGTTATCCTTTCTCTCCCAAAGGTGAGTTTGGCAATCTCAGTGCAGAGGCAAGATATTCACAGTACACAGAAAGAAAAGCTGAGCTTATTCCAGCTTTCAAAGCCATGAAACAGACCAGTTCTAGTGGTGAAGGGCTAAGGTCACATGGAGGAAGATGTTTTAATTTCTCTCACAAATGCTTTAAAACAAAATATTCATCTTTGCCACAGTGAAAAGCCAGGGAATTCTTTCAGTGAAGCAATAAGTCTTGGGAAGAAGGTTAGATGTGAATGCCAAGAGGAAAATTTTAATAGCTATCCTATGCCTCACACAGTGAAGTCCTAAGGAGATTCATTAGGCACTCACCAGCCCTACAGGACCCTGGATGTGAGTCAAGTCTGGTGAAATAACTCAAATATGTATTTCAGGGTTAAAGGAAGTCAGGAAACTTCAACATTAGTCACCTCTTAGGGCAGGCTTCTCTGCATAACCAGATCCCCAACAAGCTTATTAGCATTCTTTTCCAAAGCCACTGCTGGTAGGCAGTGACTTTTCCCAATTAAATGGCTCATTTTGCAGCCAGCAGCACCTGCCTGGTTAACAACACCTTGGGCCCTCATAATGCCCATTTAATGACATTTCCCACCATTTAGCACTGCCAGGTTTCCTCAGGCTGTTAAGTCACTCACTGCAAAGCCTCTCAGAGTTTCCTAACTCTTGTATGTGTGTAGCCACAGCTTCTCTCCCCACCAGCAGAGGCTCCTGTGCCCCACTGGTTTCCTCAGGCTGTTAAGTCACTGCAAAGCCTCTCAGTTTCATAACTCTTGTATGTGTGTAGCCACAGCTTTTCTCCCCACCAGCAGAGGCTCCTGTGCCCCACATTCCCCAGGGAAGGGCAACAAGAGGTGAAGCCATGAGGATATATCCAACTTGTGCTCCCTGGCAGCTCCTGCCTCAGAAGTCAAGCCCCTCTGTCATCATGGCAGCATTAACAGCAGAAACAAACAAAACCCTCACACTGAGCTCAATTATAGCTTTACTTTTTGTCTGCTGTGCTACCAGCAAGAGCATGATGCTCAGGAAAGCTTGATCTCGTTTTGGGAAAGAAGGGAAAACATCCCACTGGATGCTGGTTTAGAAGCACTTAAAGATTTTTGTTTTGGCATCAATTGTTGATTGGATTCCTGAAATCCATCTTTTTCTGCCTTTCTTCATTATGCCCAAGACACACTCTCATTGCCTTGCCCGTTTGTGACAATTTTGTGCCAGGCTGCAGCAGTTAAAGAACCTCTTTGGACAATCTCAGGAACCCAAATATACATAAAAGTGTCTTATTCTGACCAGCAGCTGCCTTGAAAAGGAGGGACTTTGGGAGCTGAGAAAGGTAGTTTTGAGGAATTGAAATGTAAGAAATTCATTGCAAAAATTGCTGCATTAGCAAAACAGAGGAACCTGAATGTGCTTCACCTGAAATAGAGGCTTGTCAGCAAAAAAAGAGGAAAAAATACTGAATTTTAAGTTCTTTCTTCTCGTGTGCACTAACAGCATTTTATTTGTCCATGTCTCACAAGAAGTCAGAACTACCAGGAGTTCCAACCCAAGGACTTCTAACTAGACACTGTTTTAAGAATACATTGAGGTTTAGTATGTTCCCAAGACATGACATAGTAATACTGACCTTCCAAGTCATCAGTCCCATCTCTCATCTGTCACAGAAACAAGGTGTTCACTGGGAGGATGAGTGTTACATTGAAGAACAGGGGCAGCTTCTGTAGCTGGCCCTCCACAGCTGTCCACCCTTCACAGATTAAGATCAACATTAAATGCTCATCATTTATTATTAATATTTATGTATTGATGTCATTAGCATGCTAAGTCTATTAATATGTCGATGATATTACTATATCAGTGTTATGCAATTATTAATATTATTAAGTATTAATCACAATTAAGCAAAAGATCAGGAAAAGCAAGAAATAACTGTCAGGTTGATGATCATTCCTGAGTGCCCACAGGTCTCAGAGCACCAGCACAGACACAGCCTGTTCCTCTCTGCCACCCAATGACACAGACCTGGCACTGCAGCCATGGCTGCAACACGAGTTGGGGCAGGGGGAGACTCAGGAGGGGACCCTGCACCCACTGCTGCTCACCTCGGGTCTCTTGAGACCTCCTGGACCTGTCACATCACGTGGCTTTCTCTGAAAAATAAGTGGGAAATAGATATAGCATTTATTTTATCAATTCAGGTACACTTCAAGGCCTGGTTGTCTGGTTACTGTTTCACTGGTGACAGACATTTTAAAGGCCCAATAAGAGAGGGAAGATGAAGAAGTAAATGCACAGCACAGGCATATTTTTACTTTGGGACAGAAAAAGGGTTGGGGCTGCCAGCATGCAGCTCCTAGGATGTGCTCCCAGTGGTGTCACCAACTGGCCACGTGGCCTCACATCTCTTCAGCTCTTCTCTAACAAGTCCACATTACCAACAGGATCCTGTTTTCAAGGGTAAATGATCAGAAAGCCACACAGCCCCTTCCTGCTGCACAGCCACTACAGCTCAAGTAGGACACCTTTATATTCCTGTTGTGCTCAGGTCTTGTATTTAAGAGAATTAAAAATAATAGGAACGGTTTAGCTTTTTAAGAACCTGCTACTAAGCAGGCTGGGCACAGACCATGTCAGGCTATCAATCACTCGAGTGCCCACGGGTTGTTCAGGACACAGGAGCGTAGAACACAGCCTGTCTCTCTCTGCCACCTAATGACACAGGGGTGCCACAGCAGCCACCTCTGCAACGCCTGTGGCAGCTTCTGCAGGGAAAGAAAACCCACAAAGGCTGGAAAAGGTGGTATTTTCAGGTATTTGTAAGAAGAAGGCTGCAGCACTGGTTCAGAAAGCAGGATTACAGGGGCAGCTGGAGCACGTGGAAGCACCAGCGCCAGATGGTGAACGAGATGGCTGAAGCTCATCTGGACAGACTCGTGTTAAATGCCCCTTACCTTTGATTTCTCAGGAGCACAGCCTTTTTCACTTCACTCTTTATCCCCCGCCAGGCTGCAGACTTCAATAAAGAGAGCAGTTAGCAACAAAGCAGCGCTCAGCGGGCTGCTCGGCCTGCCCAGGGACCCACTGAACAGAAAACCGGATCAAACCCAACAAAACCCGTCTAACAGATTCACTTCAGCTACTCAAACCTTTACAAACACTTCCCCCAACAAGGTGGCAGCCCCCCCTTCTCCCCTCCCCTCGACTGGAAACGCATCCCTCTGCTTTTCCACCCCCACCCCAGCTCTCCAGACCCCAGCACGAACCCGCCCGGCCCGCACCGACCTCAGCGGCGACCGGGGACGGGGCTCCGGGCCTTCCTGGGCTCCCCCCGGCCGGGTGGCTGAGCAGTGAGCAGCCCCAGACACTCCCGCAGCCCGGCCATGGGGG